TTTGTTAGGAACATACCATCTTTAAACACAAAACAATAACAACTTCTCCACAGGTTGGTTGGAACTATAAGATGAAAAACCTATAACCTAATTAACATATTTATTTTTTGCTCAACAGAAAAATGAGTAGATGAAGGTCCCATTTTCATGGTATCCAATTATTATAATTACTTAAAACATCTGCATGCATGCCTGCAACAATATTTTGATAAAAATTTCTGTATAGGTTCAAAAGCGTAAATCCAGAGTTCAAAGGGTTCACCAGATGGCCTAAATGTAGTGTCAACACTGAAGCTTAACTTATTAGAGGAGCATTTCTAGACGGAACTTCGGTTAAAATGAAGAAACTTAATATGCCAAGCATGTAATGAATCAAAATGGATTAAAAAAAAAACTAGAAATGTTATAAACTTTTATCACTATAATTCTATTAATGTTCTATAACTCAACTTTCTGACGGAAAAACTAAATTTGAGATTAATTAACACGTATTAAAGTAATCGAGCAACACAGCGATCTTACCAGATCACTACGTTCAAGCACCCTCCAAAGCTGTCTCCAGATATCAAGATTTTTCTCAAATGGAGTAAGAACGAGATTCTCATTCTCTTCTAACCTGCAGTGGTCCGTCCGAGCAGAAAATAAATTTAGCAAGAATCCAAAGCAAAACTCAATTAATTTCACAAAAAACTTATAATAATTCAACAAAGGATAACCAGCACGAAAATCCCATTTTAGGAATCTAAGCAGATGCAAACCAAAATCGAAAGATGCTCAATTACATACAAAGAATAGAAAGAGAACATAGACAGAATGAGTTATTAATGTATCATTTAAATTCATATCATAAATTATGGTCGTGTCGTAAGTCAGAAAGACTAACATTGCAAGTTTGCGGCGCCACTCAAGAAAAGCTCTTCTTTCATTATCATCAAGCTCTTCTACAGACATGTTAGCATTCCACGGCGGCCTGAAGAGAAGAAATTTTTGAATTAGCATTTCTTCTTAAGAACCAATCAAACAAAGATATGACATAATCTTTTGTATTGCCTGCGAGGAATTCGAAGACTACTGGCATGCAAAGCCTCCTCTTTCTTCTGTTCCTTGCTTCTTTCTGCAAGTGTCATCTCATTGTTTCTCGAAGCAGGATCCCTGATACATAAATAAAACCAACTATTATAGCCAGTCAATAAAAGAGTACAATTACCAAAAAAAAGAGAAACCTTCCCCACCAATTAGAATAAAGGAGCAACGGCATTGTTATGTAATCAAGCTAAGGCCCCGTTTGGTTGGCAAGATAAGATTAGCCAAGATAAGATTAAATAATCTAATGAGACAAACTCAATTAGTTTATTGGAGCTCGAAACGTCAAAAAAAAAAAAAAAAAAAAAAACTCATTACAAGGCAAGATAAGCCATGATTATATAATTTTGGCGGGTCGAACCGGTAATTTATTGAGGATATCAAACATCAAATTAAGTCCAATTATTTAGTTAATCATGACTTATCTTGGCAACCAAACGGGGCCAAAACGTAAAACCTTCCCCACCAATTAGAATAAATTTAGGGTTTTCCAGTTACATGTGATTCCAATAAATAAAACAAATGAAACATGCACTAAAAATGAAATAAAATCGATATTTCGGCAGGTATATCAATCCAAATAAATAACACTGAAAACTAAAGAGGGGCAAAAAAAGTAGGTATACAAATTGATAGTGAGTTTTCCGGGGGGATTGACGGCGGAGTAGAGGCGGTGGGCCTCATCAGCCTGCTCGATAACCGCTTCTATATCGCTTATTTCAGTCACCGATTCCAGGACTTTCTTATGCTGGCTCCTGTAATACCTACCTTTCTCTTTCGACTGCTGCACCATCTGATTGTGCTGCCTCACCAGAGCACGCCCAAGCTGGGTTTTCTCCCCCTTCGGCATGATGGTTAAACCGCCTCCGAATTTCGATTTCGGTTGTTGCAGAGTTGAGTGGTGAGGAAAGAGGAGCCAAAAAGAAGAAATAGGAAAAAAAATAAAAATTAAGAAAACCAGACGCAGGGAAAAGAAATGGGAAAGACAAATTGTAAACTAGGGTTGGGTTAATGTATTAGTTGGTTCATCTTTTTTATGTTTTATGGGTAAATTACAACCAACTCAACCCCTTAGCTATGGTCAAATTACAAAAAATTCCCTCTTGTTTGGGTAATTACAACCACCGTTAACTATAAAATTTTGTGGAATCTTCTAGATTATATGAAATATTATTACTTTTGTACCCGTTCTATCCTATTCGAACTCCACATTTTGAAGCAAGATGATCATAATATGTGTTTTTTGGCTTGTATATATCAGATTGTGATGCATATTTTTACACAAAATGAGTACAAACTAGAGCATATTCCACGAAATCTAGATGATTATGTTGAATTTGACACCGTACGGGTGGAGGTGTAAGAAAAAAATCATAGTTGAGGGGGTGAATGTAATTATCCAAACAAGAGGGTTTGTTCGTAAATTGACCATACCTCAGGGGGGTGATTGTAATTTACCCATGTTTTATTAATGTTTACAACTTTGTGGTGCGGCGGCCTCCCGTGGGTGGCGGTGGTGGGGAGGAGAAGGAGGGCTTATACAAAGTTCGAAAATGCTTTGTTGAAAGAAAGTCGTGCGTTATAAATGAAACGCGAGAGGAGAAACACGACCTTTTCACCATTTTTTTCATTTGTAATTAATCTAAGGTAAATTATGAAAAAATCATTGAACTTAGGCTAAATAATGAAAAATAACCCCAAATACCCTCATATATCCGTAATAACCAAAATTCCCCCTTTAATTAACTGTTGATCGAGTTTTTTTAATAGGAAATGTATACAGTCTATTATACCTTATGTTAAGTGAGAAATAAAAAAAATTATCTGAAATTGTGTAAGGTATATTCCCTGAAATAAAAAAAATTGTGAAAAAATCACACTGTAAGGGGTTGGTGTAGGACATAAACAAACCTCAGGGGTGTTTTGGTAAATTAATCCACACCCCTTAGGTATACTTAAATAACTTGAAGGTCCCTATAGTATTGATAATTACACTCACCCCTGAAACATAGTTAGAAACTCCAATGAGATAATGTACTGGATACGTTATTCCTATAAAGTTATAACGAACTATTACTTTTAGCTAGTGGTGGAGACAACATAGAGTTAAGCGGTGACATGGCCCCCCAACATTTCTTAAATCATTCATAACTCTTTGTTGTCTCTATCACTTCCTGATACTAATAGTCCTTTAGAATGCTAACGGAATAAAGTATCCAATGCATTATCCCATTAAAGTTTCTTACCATATTTCAGGGGGTGCGTGTAGTTATCAATACCACATAAACATACAGTTATTTTAACTTACCTCATAGGTGTTGGCGTAATTTACCCTTTTTTTTAGAATAGTGGGGGTTGGGCTGCACCCCCTACATGTCTATAGATTTAAAATTAGTAAGTACACAATGATTGTCATGCAATACACTACAGCCCGAAAATGGCTAAAAATAACAACGGCGAATAAATAGAAACTTGTAAAAAAAATAGAATAACACGAGCAGAATAGACAGCTCAAACTAAAGATAAGACAGAGGAATGAGAATAATCATAATGTTAAAAGCTCTCAAATTTAACGACTTTTACGATGTTCAAATTTGAGGGCTGGAATCGAAGGCAAGAGCATTGGGTGCTTCAGCAGAAAACTAGGTTGAACGATGATGGTCGTTACAGAGTTGAATGAGATCAAACTTGTGGAAAATTAGCAATGGATAAAATCCAAGTGAATATAATCAAGAAAACTGATTTGAGTGATTTGAACTAAAATTTGACGTGAATTGGAAAATTGGTTTATAATGCAAACCCTTATTCAAACTCGAAATCTCGAATTCAAAGTCACAATTTTACTACAGGCAATACACTTTATCAATGAAAGATCAGGGCTGAGTCACCGGATAGCTTAGCTGCCCGCAACCCCATCTCGCTCACCATTATTACTACACCCAAATTTTCATAGTTTAACAAAAATGTTGAACACATACATGCAGCACTTTTCGCAGTAGAGCATTATCCAACCATTTTAAGTTGTTGACAATACTAAAATACAAGATATACGCAAGACGTTTTATACCGTCACACACAGCTACTTTCACTTACATGCATTCAAAACCTTGGTTTCACCCGAATCTTCCGTTTCTAAACGGATATTAAAACCAATCAGCTTGTTCAGTGCACCAACGTAAGCTCGAACACTTGATATGACAATATCCATTGCTGCTCCAGTTCCACTGTTTGTACAGACAAAATCATGTTTGAGAAACTAACTAAAAGAGTACAATTGGATACATCTTGTTCTTTATATTTCCATTCTTTTTCCTGAAGAATATATATTAGGGCAAATTACGGCCACCCCTGAGTTATGGTCAAATTACGAAAACCCCCTCCTGTTTCGGTAAGTACGAAAAAACCCCTAAATTTAGGGATGTTAAATCAGTACAACCGAACCGAAATTTCGGTACGCCAACATTTCATACCGTTAACCGAACTGAATATACGAGTTGGTTTGGTAAATAACCGAATTACATAAATTTTATGTAAAAATATTTAAAAGGAGGGGGGTGGATGTAATTATCCAAACAAGAGAGGTTTTTTCGTAATTTGGTCATACCTCGGGGGGTGGCCATAATTTGCCCTAGATATTATATTATTAAGTACACCTGCGTACCTGAATGCCCGGTTTACAGTTTCTCCGGTCATAGCATGGGTTGCTGTGACACTATCCTCTGCACGAATAAGAACCCTCGTTGTGGCTATAGCGTCAATGCCTTCAGTCACTGCATTCATCGAATACTCGAGAAGTCTTACAGGAACCTGCAAGAAACCGAGAATACATTATGGTGATTTCAGATACTAGGCCTCGTTGGTAAGTAAATAATTGGTGTTTGGTAAAGCTAATAACTTTCCAATTCGACCCGGAAATATTATGTTATTATGCCTTTTAGAGAGCTTTTTTGTTGGACCTTCCGGGGTGATTGGGTTTTCATTAAATTATTAAATCTTAGCTAATCCTATTTTGGCAACCAAACGATGCCTAAGAGAACTAAAATGAACAAGAATGCAAATCAATGCACAAAGGGAAGGAAGTGTAATTTCTTGAAGCTTCAGACCTTAACAACAAGATCAACCGCTTTATATGCTGCATCAACGGGCCCAGTTCCAACTGAACAAGAAATATACTCAGCACCATCTGCATCAATGAGTTTGACAGTTGCTGTTGAAAGGCCAAGACTTCCGCATGTAACCTGTCCACGAGGAACATCCATCGTAAATTGGACGAACCGTCGTCATATTACACCAAAAATAATGATTTATTCAATGATCAACCAATAAGCTGAAAACATGCCTGTACATCTTCAACTTTCCAAATAACCACTGGCTGGAAAACTTCATCCGAGACTAGGGCAATTAGATCATCATCGGTGATAATCTGGAAAAATCAAAATACTAGAAACAGGTGGGTAATAATATCTCAACATTCGCAAGTTAAAAATGGCTTCTTTTAGAATTCATTTTCATTCTTGAAAGAATTCAGTAACAAAAGCTAGAAAGTAGTGTACCTTTTTGTTTCCTGCTACACCTTTGAAGCGTGCAAAAAGATCGTCAAGTCCCTTGCCATCAATATCGTATCCAAGCTGCAACCATATTCAGTCATACTATTTAAGTCTAATTTATTACTGATACATAGTAGGAGCAGTTGCAGAAACTCTAATAATAAATTATAATAAGCTTAAACTGCAATTTACCTCCAACATTTTGGCTTTCAAAGCATGGCGTCCACTGTAAAAGAATGTAAACAAAAACAAAATGATAAAATGTTACTTTACCTATACACAATGATAACAAAACGGAAGTAGTGTGTAGGAAGAGAGTCATAGCAAAAGAGTTAATAGCAAAAAAAAAGGGGAGACAATTCTAAACGCAAACATTAAAGATTTTGCGGAATGGATGGACAGATGTTTCAATATATTTAGTGATACAAATTGTTGGTCGAAACATGCAAACAATATTAATATACCGGCTTAAACGAACATGACGTCAGAATTCGAGATTGGTTATTGTGTAAGAATGTTTCTTATCAATTTTACCTGGTCAGGTATCCTTCTAAAGAACAGGAAAAAAAACATAGATGGAGCGCAATAAGAGCAATTTTTCCATTAACTTTCATTTAAGTCTTCACATAGACGTCACCTCTCTCACTACAGCATTTTCTTGCAATAACAGCAGCAACATTCAGCCATCGGAAACCAATCATATGGAAGCACAAAATTTCATGATAAAAAGAAGCAGATGCAGAAGAGGATCGTTGGCAACATAGCACATTTAGTTTGACATAAAAGAAGACTAATGTTGGTGATAGTTGTGAGATGATGGTAGTTTACAAAGGTTCGGGTTTGGAGCATAATTTTGACTAGATTTGGGCCTCTGTCATTCTGTTGAGAAGAAATAAACCCAAAATGGGGAAAGAAACAGTAATGCCTGTCATTTTTATTTTAAGAAACCCGAACTTGATAAATCTCATACCGTAAACATTTTTATTTACCGTATGAACCTGAACCCAGATGCCAAGCCCACAGTCCACTCAAATCCTAATTTTTCATGCGACAGGAAACAGACAGAAAATGGGCGCAGATCCACAAAGCAGCCCCCATTGCCAACCCGAAAGGAATTGAAAATGAAATAAGAATTTGTGTTCAATCTAGTTTAATATGTGAACTTTAAGGCTAGAAGTATCATATAAAATAATTTTAAAACTGGTGGAAGTCCTTGTTACATGAAAACCAATATCACATGTATTCAAATGTTAAAACCTATCTAAGTTTGAAATATAACACATAGAAGTATGGTTTTGATTAAATTAGTAAACGGATAAAGGTTTGAATTAGATTTCAGAAACATTGAAACTCGGTGTACTAATCATTAAGAAATAAGTAAAACATCACATATTATTATTGTTTTATTTTTTTGTAAATACCATCTTCATCATTGACTAATCTTCTAAGTGTCGTTTGAAAGAAAAAAACATCTAGCCAAATAATGCCAATTAATAAACGAAAAGTTATATGACATTCTTTTTTATCCTCGCGTTCTTACCTTTTATATTACTTCTAAATATGCAAAGTTAGAAACTCACCTGGGCAAAAACTGTCACACCACATCAATATTGGTCTATAGAAATCCTTATGTTAATTACTGTTTGGCCTTTTTGCCAAACGTAAATTGTGACCTAATCTAAAATACTAGTAATTATTTATGACATGGCTAATTCGACAACAATTCACCCAACAACCCTTGTCCTATCTGAACAAAAGGCCCAAGTTTTTACATTCATTCTGCCTACAGGTCTTCCCTTTGTCTTAAAACCATATTCCATCGCATCTGCTACACTAATAGCTTTGTGAAATTTTTAGTTCCACCCCATATCTAGTAGATTCACCACCTAAAAGTGTCTTATCATCAACAAATGTTACATACCACAGTATATTTGTAATATTTCTTTTAATGGTTTGAACAATGATTAAGCATCACTAGCAACTAAAACTTGCAATAAAGGAGCGCATGAAGATAAGATGGGTAACAGGAAGTTCCACCATACCTGAGTTTTCCAAGCACTATACCAGATTCATTGGAGCGAAGAAGTCCAATATCTTCGGGAGATATAATTTCGTATGTGTTCTTATTTTTAAGCATTCCATCCTGCAAAATGGCTCGAAGAATAATTAATAGGAAAAGCATAATATAAGACAAAGTTTTACTTGATGTAAAAGAATTTTAACATACTATATACAATTTCTTAGACAAGCATAAATTGATACAATCAGAAGCAGCAGGAACTATGAACAAAATGCACCCCTCAAGTCAAATAAAGGCATTTTTATCCAAGAAACAAATGTTGTATGGATTAGTCTGTGAGGCTATCTGCATATATTTTGAAATCATTTTTATATAGGAAAAGTACTAGGGAACCAATTACTTTGTATTACTTTCGTGTGAAACATATATTTGAAAAGGAGAAGAATTGAGGCTTTTCATTATGACAAAAGCTCGAGTCACACAATCTAACATGCGCCCTGATTTTAAGAATATCGGAGAAGTCTCTTAAGAAATTTATACATGTACATCAGGCAAATGAATCCAACACATAATTTGTCAAAAGTGGAGCACGAAAATCCATTTTGTAAAATCCCAAAAAAATTTCTAGGCTTTAAGAATCTACTAAGACCATGACATGTAAATGAGGTTCCAACATAGGCTTGGTCATGCTTAATATGAATGGAGCCTCTTCAAACTTCTAACTATAGAGTCTGGTCGAATACCATTACGCCACACACCGAGCAGAAAGGAATTGACAAGCTAATTCCAACATAAATCTAGGATTAGCTTGTAACGTCCATGATGAACTTAGCCAAGGACTCAAACTGCTGATGGAAAAGTTGGCAAAGGGCACAAGGACTGCAAGTTAAAAGTCTTTAAAATAACTCGGTTAGGCAAAGAAATGACAGTCAGTTGAGTGTGTCAAAGAACTTCTTGCTAATAAAACAGGATCTTGTAAGAATTTAATCCTCCATACCACTCTACCATTTCCTGGACAAAAATACAGCAAAGGCCAAGAAAATAATAAAGAAGGGTCAAATCAGTGGTTTTCTCTGACACAAGTAGAGAAAGTGAAGTACAGCGGAAACGGAATCACACTCTAGTAGCCTCCGGCCTTCCTACTACTACATTTTTATCTTTTAATTCCTAAACAATGATCACTCTCTCAAAAGCGAATAAGCTTACAAATATAAAAGCAAGAGAACGACTTTTCGGTAAAAAATTGTAAACCTGTTACTCTGAATGAAAATCAGAATAAAAAGTAAAAAACATATTATGTCCAACATCATCTATAAATAAATGGGTAACTATAGTGAGTAAAATAATCCAAAACCCAACTATATAAAGTAAATTACTACAATATCAAAGAGCTTAGTAGCTTACTGAAGGGTCCTGATACTTTTGGAAACCTCAACGGGGCAATTCATCATTAAATCAGATCTTAACGAAACTGAGAAAATGCCTACTATAAATCTAACCTCGAGATCTTAATCATTTCCCTATTTCTTAATTTTATTCTGGTGGGCTCTTATATTTCCAGAAAAACTCATTGATAAGCCACAAGATGCTAGATATCGATTTATGAGTTCCAAGTCGCATTTTATGACAGTGGTAATCAGATAAAACAAGACTGAATATAAGGATGCAAAGAATCTTAAGGAAAACACTTCAGAAATTGACCCATTCAACACCAACCTGATGGATTCCACTTTCATGAGCAAAAGCATTAGCTCCAACAATTGCTTTATGTGGCTGGATCCTCAGACCACTGTATTCCTCTACCTAAAGTATATTGTTCAACAAAGTGACCACGTAATTAATAATTATTTAAATCGAGAGAAGTTGAAAGGACATAAAAGGACAGTATACCATCTTGCTGGCCATAACAATGTGTTGGGTATTGATTCCTGTGTAAAGTCCATCTAGCACTTGCTCTCCACGGCATTTTAAGGCCATTACAACCTAATGTAAAGCAGAAAATAAAAGTTAGTAAATCAACTGGGAAAACGAATGGTCTCTGACTAATAAACTATTCACTCCAGCTTACAAAAAAGTGAACTTTTCAGAGTGCAGGGATATGTCTCTTATATTGTATGTTCTTTCGAGCCTTTAATCCAATTTCACTTGGGCACTTCGCCCTTGTAAATTTCAACAGTACAAAAAAAATTAATAATATTATACACTAATTCCAAAAATGTTTTTCTTTTTCAGTTGGCATTTTTCAAGATTTTATGTGCCTGCAATTTTCAGATGAAAAATAAAAAATAAAAACAACAACAGCTCAAGGGGAGATGATAATAACTACAAGAAAGACGTGATAACAAATGTGTGCATGATGCACAAAAAAATATACTTTTTTCACATTTTGGTATTCATACTTGAAATGCAGGATAGAAGACGGGCCACCAGCCAAGTTACAGACTGGAACTGTTAAAATGCAATAAAATTAAAAGAAACTGTCGCAACATTCTACTCCGTTTCTTTCTCAGTTTTCCTGCTATTATAGTTTACGAACTCAAAAAACCAGTTAACTTAATATATCTTCTCTTAGCACAAATCTTCTCATCCATTTTTTTGTCTGGGTCACTATCCTTGTCTATTATCCTTTGGATACCTGACAGCAATGTTATAGTTCTATAAACTTTATGGCAGCAGTAGAGATAACAGAGAAGCTTAAGCACTGGTGTGAAAAAGCATGTAAATAATCTCAATAATATTTCAATGTTATCAATTAATTATGTACAGAAATATCCAGAAACTACTTAATAGTAGTCAACAATCATAAACTTCCACTACAGACTATACGAAAGTGAGCTTTTCACAATGCAGTTACGTGTCTCTTATGTTTAAGGTTATTTTAAGCCTTCAATCCAATTTCACTTCAGCATTGTTCCTTGGGTAAATTTAGGCTGCTACAGAGAGAATTAAAAAAATATACTAAATTCTATACAAGGTTCTACACACACACACACACACACACACACACACACACACACAAACACAGACACACTGGTGCTAAAAGAAAAAAAAGACTATCGACCGTGAACATAAGAACAGGAAACCTAAAGAGAAACACACCTCCTCTAGCGACGCATTACCAGCTCTTTCACCAATGCCATTAATGGTCACCTCTAATTGCCTTGCGCCAGCATGTGCACCCTGAGGGCAAAATCAGCACCCTTGTGGATATAGCACGAATTTTTACTTGTATACATTATACAAGTAGGAAAGTAAATCACATACCGATAGAGTATTAGCTGTAGATAAACCAAGGTCATTCTGGCAGTGCGTGGAGATAATCACATTTTCAATGCCAGGAGTATTGGCTTTTAAGTCAGCAATTAATTGTCCAAATTCAGTGGGCAAAGTATAGCCAACTGTATCAGGGATGTTAAGGGTCGTTGCACCAGCCTTAATAACTTCTCCCAGAATTTGATACAGAAACTCCCTGTCCGATCTGTAAGAAATAAAAGAATAGAAAGCTGAAAAAAACACATCTAAAAGAGTTTATATTAGGAAAATTAAGAAAAAATTGCTGTTTTAGTGAAATTCAGACATTAATTTCTGCACCAAATTTACACGAACAGCATAAAATTGTTCTGAAAAACTTTCAATAATCTGGAGGGTGTTTATTTTCAATCAAAGTCAAGCTATTATCTGAAGTCAAGTTGTCACATCCAGCTCATTCACACTCCTTGTGCTATAGCTTTGTAATCAAAGTTAGAATCAGTTTTGGAAAGCTAATTAGCTAAGGGCAAGGCATACGATGAAAAGAAGAGATAACACAAAAAACATTCATTTTAATTGCCATGCTTTTGGTGGGACAAAATATAAGAGTTGCCTGGCCGCCGGTTAAGAATCCGGCTACCAATCCAAATGCCAAGCAGGACAAACGATAGAAATCATCATATCAACGTAGACCTTAATCGGCAAAAAAAAACATACAAATCCCACAACATTTGAATCCCATTAAACAAATTATGTGGCATGGAAAATAAGCAACATAGAGACAACTACCACACTTATGCCGTCAAAGAAATGACTTCCCGAACAAAGATTCAGCTTTAGAACTTTAATAAACCCTGCGATCACTTTTTCTAATCTTACCCGTGAGTTCTTTAACTTGATAAAACCGATTAAGAATATTATACGCCTAATCAATTACAAATGCGCGGTACAAGTTTCAGAAAAAAAATGACCAACCCGAAATGCATTTTGGTGAGGTTAAGTTGTGTGTTCCTTCAGCATTTTCGCAATTACAGTAGAACCTCGATAAATTAATAATCTCGATTAAATAATAATTTCTCTCAGTCCCGAATCGGTTAAAACGTGTTAAATTATTAACTCGATAATTTAATAATTCACTAAATTAATAGAATTTCCCTAGTCCCGACTGTATTAATTTATAGAGGTTTAACTGTACATGCCAAAAAGAGAGACTATAATTCAAACTGATAATAAGAAATAAATCATAGGTTGTGTCACCTTCCAGCATCTTCGGGGCTAAATTCGACGTCGTTGCAACCTAAACTCCGCGCATAAGCGACCATACTCGTAGCCTTCTCGACCACCTGCTGCCGAGACATCTTCAACTTGAATTCCATATGAATTTCGCTGGTGGCGATAAACGTGTGGATTCGGGGCTTCTTCGCCTCCTTCACCGCCTCCCACGCCCTGTCGATGTCCCTCTTGTTACACCTCGCCAAGCCGCAGATGACCGGCACGTGATCGGAGTCGGCGTTTCCGACCTCACGTGCGATCAACTTCACGCCTTCGAAATCGGCGTCGGAGGAGGCCGGGAACCCGGCCTCGATGATGTCGACGCCGAGGCGTGCCAGCTGGCGGGCGATGTCGAGCTTCTCCTTCGTGGTCATGGTGGCGCCGGGGGATTGCTCGCCGTCGCGGAGGGTGGTGTCGAATATGCGGACGTACTTCGGGTCCGGAATGTGGTTCGGGATGTACTCCGGGCGGCGGATGGAGCAGCGGATGGCGGCGGTGGAGCGTGGGGCATTTGATTGCCGGACGAGGTGGAATGGGCGGAGAGAGATCCTGGTGGAGGAGGGGAGACGACTGGTGGTGGTGGTGGTGGGAGATGGGTTTATGGGTATGCGCTTGCAAATTGAAGACGCCATTGTTGAATGCTGCTGAGGTGTTGTGGTGATTGATAGATAAGCCCTATTTATTTAAACCTTATTATTTAAACCCTAGTTTTGACCGTTTAAGAAATGATGGCTTGAATGTTGACTCTGTTCGCTGGCGTCACTGTGACCCATAGTTGTTGCCTTTTATCTTTTGGGAAAATTTGTCCTTGATTTTAAGGTAAATTCAAATCATTTTTTAATTAATAAACATTAATTGAATTTTACTTTATACCCTTATATTAATTTAGCGTATTTTATGGTTGAGAAATAAAGGGCGAATGGCAAAAAGGCCCACATGGGACTTAAATGCACATTGGTCTAAAAAAAAAAACCAATCTCTCATTCCTTAATATTACACATTGACCTCGGATTTAAACAAATATATCACATTAACCCCCAAAATATTATTTTTTTCAGAAAATAATTTTTTTCCAACCAGATTCCGGTGTTGACTTTTTTTTTTTCCTAAATTTTTTTTCCGGCCGGTCAACCACCGTTTACCGGTCTCCGGCGTTGACTTTTTTTTTTCTTAGAAAAAAACATTTTAATTAATATTACTGTCTTGGCTACTAAATTACCGTCTCAGACAGTAATATTACTGTTTGGGACAGTAATATTATGAATATTATTTTCCCGAACAATAATATTATTGTCTAAGACAGTTAAATTACTCTTGAAGACAGTAATTTAGCAGCAAAGACAGTAATATTAATTAAAATAATTTTTTATAAGAAAAAAATTTTCAAAGAAAAAAAAGAGTCAATTAGCAATTAAATTACTGTCTCCGACAGTTAAATATCTGCTGGAGATAGAAATTTAGCAACGAATACAATAATATTAATTAAAAATATTTTTTTAAGAATAAAAAAGTCAATTAACAGTTAAATTACTATCTCCGACAGTTAAATAACTGCTGGAAACAGTAATTTAGCAACGAATACAGTAATATTAATTAAAAAAAATTAAGAATAAAAAAGGCAATTAACAGTTAAATTACTGTCTCCGACAGTTAAATAACTGTTGGAGACAGTAATTTAACAACGAATACAGTAATATTAATTAAAATATTTAAAAAAAAAGAAAGTCAATTAACAGTTAAATTACTGTCTCTGATAGTTAAATAACTGCTGGAGACAGTAATTTAGCAGCAAAAACAGTAATATTAATTAATATATTTTTGAAGAAAAGAAAAAAAAAAGTCAATTAACAGTTAAATTACTGTCTCCGACATTAAAATAATTGTTTGAGATAGTAATTTAGCAGTCAAGACAGTAATATTAATTACAATATTTTTGTAAGAAAAAAAAAAGTCAACGTCGGAGACCAGCGATCAACAACGGCGACCGGTGGTGGCGGGTCAAAATTGGGATCAAAATTGAGATTAGGGTTAAAATTGGTTAATTGATGAAATTGGGCTAAATTGGGGTGTAAATCATGAAATTGGAGTTGAATTGGGTTTTAATGAAGTGGGGGTAATTTTGGTATATATAAAAAGATTTTCCTTATTTGCAAATAAGTTTGAATGGACTGGATTTATTTAAAAGACAAAAAAGTTGGATGTTCCTCTTTTAATTAAGTGCCCTTGTCATGGGCCTTTTTGTGATTAACCCAAAAATAAAAACTAATTTATTTTTTAAGGCAATTGGCAAATAGGCCCATGACAAGGGCACTTAATTAAAATAGGGACATCCAACTTTTTTGTCTTTCAAATAAATCCAGTTCATTCAAACTCATTTGCAAATAAGGAAAATCATTTTATATATACCAAAATTACCCCCAATTCATTGAAACATAATTTAACTCCAATTTCATGATTTACACCTCAATTTAGCCCAATTTCATCAATTAACAAATTTTAACCCTAATTTCAATTTTGACCCGCCACCACCGGAGACCGCCGGTCTCTGCCGTTGACTTTTTTTTTTTTTTTTTGAAAACTTTTTTTGAATTTTTTTTCCGGTAGGTCAACCGCCGTTGACCGCCGGGTCTCCGGCGTTGACCGTCGGGTCTCCGGCGTTGACTTTTTTTATTATCTTTCTCTAATTTTGTTTTTTCTTAAAAAAATATTTGAATTAATATTACTGTCTTGGCTACTAAATTACTGTCTCCAACAGTTATTTAACTGTCGGAGACAGTAATTTAACTGTTAATTGACTTTTTTTTTTTAATATTTTAATTAATGTTATTGTATTCGTTGTTAAATTACTGTCTCGAGCAGTTATTTAACTGTCGGAGACAGTAATTTAACTGTTAATTGACTTTTTTATTCTTCAAAAATATATTTTTAATTAATATTACTGTCTTGGCTGCTAAATTACTGTCTCGAGCAGTTATTTAACTGTCGGAGACAGTAATTTAACTGTTAATTGACTCTCTTTTTTTTGAATTTTTTTTTTCTTAAAAAAATTTATTTTAATTAATATTACTGTCTTGGCTGCTAAATTAATGTCTCCAACAGTAATTTACCTGTCTTAGACAGTAATATTAATAATAGGCAAAATGAGTTTTTTAGTCCTGTAAGTTTGCTAATTGAGAGTTTTAGTCCACCATGTTTCAAAATTAGATTTTAGTCCTGTAAGTTACAAAAGTTGAGACTTTTGGTCATATGACCTGCTATGACAGATAATGCGATTGTTGGTTGAGTGAATTGACATTTAAAATATAAAAATAAATAGATTATAAATAAATTAGGTGATGTGACTAATGAGTTGGACAATTTTGGAAGAAATAAAATATACCATCAAATTATTATTTTTATTTGATGAATGAAATAAACATTTATGTAGTAACTATTTTTTAATTAATATTGGGATAATTAGTAAATAAAAACCCCCAAATTCATTTACTTATATCAAGGTGGATATAACCTCATTTTCATTATTAGTGAGAACCCCCTTAATTATTTAATTAAATTAATATTAATACAATTATTAAGTGTTATACCTACATTATCCTTAATTTTACAAATCTTATATTTACAAACCCTAGCCATATTGTCTGCAACAAACCGTCGTTCTCAAATCCCCACAAACCGCCATACTCCAATCCCCATCACCTCTTCTCTTCTTTTCTGGAACCGAAACTCAGTAGTATCGGCTGCGATGGCGGCGGCGGTGAAGGTGACGAAGGCGGCGCTACATCTCAACAACGACGAGGAAGACCCCTTTCTCTTCTTTCTCAAATTGGGAATCCGACGGATGTGGGGTAAGGAGAGGACGAAGCCGGCTCCAGATCTCGACAACGACAAGGCGACGCCGCCAAATCTAGGACGGACGGCGGCCTTCCGGTCTCCCCCCTTCATTACTGAGGGATGAGCAGATCTGCTGGTATTTTTTTTCTTTTTTGTTTGTTCTTTCGATTTTTGGAAGCATTCCTGGAATCCTCGTCGGAAGACCGCCTCCACCAGCGCTGTAATGGAATAGATTGACCCCGAGGAGGAGGTATTGTTTGGGAGGCTCGTTTGTTGAAATTGTGTTCGTGTTACTAAAAAAGATATAGTTGTTTTCGTTACGGTTGTAGTTGGTTTCAATAATAGTCGTTTTTGTTGGAATTTTGGGGTGTTTTTTTGCTTTTGCTTTTGTGGATTTCAATTATTTGTAGTTGATTCAATATAATTGTTTTCGCATAGCAATATAGTTGTTTTTGCACAACAATATTATTGTTTTCATTACTTTTTAGTTGGTTTGAATAAATAGTTGATTTAACAAATAGTTGTTTTGGAGATGTTTTGATTAAATAAGGCCATAGGACCAAAATTCTCAACTTTTGTAATTTACAGGACAAAAAATCTGATTTTCAAACATGATGGACTAAAACTCTCAACTAGCAAACCTACAGGACTAAAAAACTCATTTTGCCTTAATAATATTACTGTTCGGGAAAATAATATTCATAATATTATTGTCCCAAACAGTAATATTACTGTCTGAGACAGTAATTTAGTAGCAAAGAGAGTAATATTAATTAAAATATTTTTTTCTAAGAAAAAAAAGATTTCGAAAAAAGTCAACGCCGGAGACCGGCGGTTAACGGTGGTTGACCGGCCGGAAAAAAAATTCAGAAAAAAAAAAGTTTTCAAAAAAAAAAAAAAAAGTCAACGCCGGAATCTGGCCGGAAAAAAAAAATTCAGAAAAAAAATCATTTTCTGAAAAAAAAAATATTTTTTCAAAAAATTATTATTTTGGGGGTTAATGTGATATATTTGTTTAAATCCGGGGTCAATCCGTAATATTAAGGAAGTTAGAGCATATGGATGAAATTAATAAAAATTATATTATGAAGGATATTTTAGACTAAAGACATGGGGATGAGTTTATTTGAAAAACTGATTTTTTTGTGGACCAATGTGCATTTAAGTCCATGTGATGGGCCTTTTTGCCATTCGCCCTATTTTTTATAATAAATTTTCACGTTCTCATGTTAGGAGCTATATCAACTTACAAATTTCGGATGGGTTTCATAGCAATGGGAAAAAAAAGGGTTTTTATGCATAAGTCACTAATGAACATTTTTATTATTCTAAATTCAGGGGTTATAACTCTTTCGTTAATAAATTCATCCCAAAAGGCAAAATTAATGTATATGACAAAATTACCTCCAATCCTTTATACTCAATTCCCAATTGTAACTCAAATTTAACTTCAATTTCATCAATTTTGATCAAAAAAATTTAATTTTGAGTTTTTTTCTTTTTTAAAACCTTTTTTTTTAATTTTGTTTTTGCCGCTGGTTTACAGCGTTGATTTTTATTTATTTATTTTTTTTTTTTTTTTTTTTTGGTTTTTCCCGCCACCGGTCTCCGGTGTTGGCTTTTTTGAAATTTTCTTATCTGTTATTTACGCCGTTGGTTTACAGAGTTGACCGACGATCAGCGCCGGTCTCCGGCGTCACTTTTTCTTTTTTCTTTTTCCTAAAAATTTTATCCGTTTTTTTTTTCACGCTTGCCACAACTTTGACGGTAATTGTAATGTCGCTGACAGTAATTGTACTTTTGAGGCATTTGAGGTAGGGGAAGGAGAATCCTCGT